GAAGGGCCCCTGAGCCCTCCGCTCTGCCCACAGGCGGTATCGGCGGCGCCATGGCCGGTGCCAGGGCGGAGGACGAGATAGCCGCCTTTGAGAAGGAGATAAAGCAGTTCTGGGCCAACTTCAAGAGCATCTACGGCAGCGAGCAGGTCAACCAGATTGTAGCGCTCAGGGATTCGTGCAAGGAGTCCATTAAAGCACTGACAGGTAAGGAGGCTGTGTATTTGCTGTACCTCTGCCTTGGCCTTATTATCAACTCTCTTCCATTAACGGAAATAACTTTCCATTACAGAGAAATGCTCTCAGAAATTAAAAGAAGAGGACCTGATGATTGACAAAATTAAGGAGTATAATGATGGTAGAGTATGCAGCTTTATCTGTTATGTTTAGTACTTCCAAAATTAACCTGCAACTGAATAATACTTTCAAGCTGACTTTCTAGAAGACAAACTGCAAAACCAGAGCAAAGATGGATTTAAAACTGAATGCATTTGGTTATAGGAGTATGTTTAGTATAGAGTATGTTTAAGCTTAGTTAAAAGTTTTGCAGCAAATGGTGTCCTGGGGGCTTAAGAGTGATCAGTGCTTAAAACTTGGAACAACAACAATGTGCAGCACCTGCTCACTGCAGTGGAAAAAGTAAATGGAAATGGATTAATGAAATTAAATATTGCGAGGTTCCCTATGTCTCTCCCATTATTAGCAGCGGAAAAAATGTCAGCCTATCTGTCCAGCATTAACTATACTGAGTTCTCTAATTAATCTTCAGAATTTTAGGTAAAAATAAATTGCGATCACACCAGTAGTCAGCATTTCCATTTGTTTTCTGTCAAATGATTTATCTGTGGAGAGAATCCACCATGCTTACCCTTTGACCTAACATATCATTTTGGCACCAGGAACAAGTAGCATATATTTGAAATATCAGGGAAGCTCCTTGCTTTGTGGCTTTTCTTCTCGTTAATTTTGTGTGGACACTTTACTATGAAGAGAGTATCAGATGTAAGTGTCCAGTTGATGCAGTTTGCCTTCTACTGGATTTTAATCAAATGAGTCATCTCAGTTAATATAGGTATGGAATAAATATTGGGAGGCCTAATTAATTGACTGTAAATGTTAATATTTTTCTAAATGATTTCAGAGATTCTCCAGCAGAACAAACTCATATCAGAAAATGAGGAAAATTTGACAGAAATAAAATCTAACATAAATCATGAAGAAGAGCAAATTAAGAGCTTAATGGACAGCATTCAAGAAATTAAAGAAGAGCTGATGAAGAAGAAGGAAAGTAAGTTTCGAAGTTGAATTAAGACCAAAGAAAAAGCAAACCAAAACAAAAAACAAATACAGAAGCCTTCTGTAGTATGTAATGGCTTTGCTGTATGTCCTCAAAATAATAAATCTAGATAACCAATAAAGTCCAAACTAATAAAGATGCAGGATGTGGAAATAAGGTGAAGAAAGGTTTAAATAGCAAGGTAAAGGTTTAGTTATCAATGCAATTTTCATTTAAGAAGGTTTCACCTGTCATTTTGGGACTGTTTAATTACTACTTGTAAGGTTTTAAGTTAAGTAACCAATTATACAGTACAGTAAACTGTACTTTAGAGCAATTATCTGAGTCTTAAAATAATGATGCCTATCACGGCATTAATACATTCAGTAAAAAGAACATACCTTCTCTTAACTAGAGAATGGTTTTGAGCACTTTTTCTTGATGGGCTTTTTTACTGTCCTGAGTCTCCTCTACCTTTTTTACCTCTATTTTCATACTTATAGTAGCTTTTAAAATTCTAGTAATAGCTTCCAAAAACCAGGCCACTAAGGAGAGAGTGGAACAACTGTGCAGGTCTAAAGCATTGTTTGAAGAGCATCTTGGCCTGGAAATCCGCAGAATCCATGGTAAGTTTCCAAAACTTTTGTGTGCAGCAATATAATGGTTAATGCTGGACTGTGTAGTGAAGAATAAAGCAAGTTACATACTGAGTAAGAATGCAAGCCTCAGCTCAAATGTAATCTTTGGTTTAAGTGTCTGTAGGGCGTTACAGCCTCCTGTCCTAATGTTAGGCCATCCCTGCACCTGTTTTCACTGGAGGTGAGCCCTGCTGCCTGCAGGGTGGCTCAGGAGTGAAGAGCAGTTCAGCTGTTCAGATTCCTTCCTAAGGCTGAGTGAGGCAGTGGTGGGTGGTAACTTTGTTGGCCAACTCAAAGCCAGTCCTTCCCCTCCTCAGCCCAGACATTACCCTAGTCTTGCAAGTGGTAGAAGAAGGTGCATTAAAACACATTTGTCTTACCAAGCAGTTTGCTTAATTAGTGAGTATTCTGAAGGCTACTAATTGAAACTAAGCTGCAGCTGAATACTGTGATTATTAGTCATCATGGAGACTCTCTAGCAAATGTTAATGGCCTTGCTCTATTCTGTTGTGTTTGCTTTAGATGAACAGTTGCAGTTTATATTCAGGCACATTGACCACAAAGACCCTGAGAAGCCATATACATTTACCCTTTTCATAAATGAACAGGGAGATTATGAAGGTATGTAATTTTAAAATATTTAAATAAGAGAACAGAATGTGATGCCTCTGTCTGAAAAAAGAGGAGAGAGGAATTTGAGTGCATTTTAGGTGTAACTTTATCTTCCTAACGTCTAAAAGAAAAGCTAGTCTGTTTTGATGGAGCTTCTCAGTTTATGTATGAAAACATAACTGCTTATCTTCATTCCCCTCCACTGGTGGAGCTGCTGCCATATATGGAAAGACATTGTTTGTGGTCATGGTTCTTTCCCTCTGGAGTGTTTATGCTGGTGTAGGTGTATGTGAATCTGATTAAGAAACCTCATGGGCAGGAAAAACTATGTTCCCCACTAGGAAAAATTTAACCTAGAAAAATCAGCCTTCCCCTTCTGTAAAGGGTACAGTTCCCTATAGTTGTGTGGGAAGAGAGAAAAATTTAACCAAGGGAAGGGGAAGCCTTCCCCTTCTGTAAAGGGTACAGTTTCTCAGAACTTAAAGCTGTTGTTGCAGTACAAACCTTACTGCTATTCTTAACTGAAGTAACTTGAGTTACTGGGCTAACTAACACCTGGATGGATGCTTCTATTTACCTGCTTTGCTCCTTAAGTACGGACTGAAAGAGGCCTCTCTTTACCAATTCAAATATAAAGTGTGTGCAAGCCACAAGTTTGTCACTTGCTGAGCTGCATCAGTTTAGAATCTGTCCACCTGCTGAGCAACAAAAATGCATGTGAACATATTCCAGCCTTTGGCAGGTTGGGAATTGCTGTAACAATTCAAGTTAAATTGAGGCAGGAACACAGCACTGGGTGGGAGTTCTGGAAATCAGAAAACACTTGTGTGCTCTTTGAGGCTTTGTCTGCACTAAAAAAAAGATTAATAGGTTGCTCAAAAATAATGCTGAAAAAAATAAACTAAAAATAAGGTAATGAACAAAATGGCATTCTATGTGTATGAAAAAGCACTTTAAAAAAATAAATATAGTCTTATCTTTTGGAATTTGTCATTTCAGTGACTTCCTGTTCTCCTCCCCTGGACTGTATAGCGGAATTCCAGAAAAAAGTGAGAGAAACTAACAATTTTTCTGCATTTATTGCCAACATCAGAAAAGCTTTTACTGAGTTATCTTATAAATAGTCTGTACAGGGATATAAGCTACTCTTTTCGTAGAGCTTTGTAGAGCTCTTTTTATTTCTCCTTCCTGTATTATGAAATCATCTTTTCTATCCATGTCTTTCTCTAATTTCTAAATAAAGAAAAATAACCAAAACTATTTTGGTCGTTATCAATCATTTGGAGGTAGTTGGATTATTTTCTGAACAATAGTATAATCAAATACTTCCTTAGCTGAATGTCTCCAGACATGTAAATTTATATGCAAGAAGAAGTAGCTCAGTTTGCCTTTGAGGCTTTCACTTGTTTCAGAGCCTTTTGCAAAAGCCTGATAACAGTATTTCTCTTCAGAGACACTGCTTGTATTCAGAGGGTTCTATCCAAAGAAAAGCGGAAGCCAAATGAGCAGGGTGGAGATGTTCCACAGTGATAGAGAAAGGCCTGTCATGCTAACCATGACCATAAAAAAAAAAAAAATACATTGATTTTTCCTGAAAGAGGCCAGGCAGATCACACAGTCTACACCAGATAGGAAAGAGCATTTTTCTGATATTTATGTTAATTTTTTTTTCTTACCCTTCTGCTGCTACATTTTGCAGATGATGAAAGGAGGTTTTTTTTTTTTTAAAGCCTCAAGTGTGGTTGTATATTTTTGGTCATCAGTGTGTGATACTTTTTCCTGAAATAGGCCAGGCAGATCACACAGTCTACAGCAGATAGGAAAGAGCATTTTTTTGATATTTATGTTAATTTTTTTTCTTACCCTTCTGCTGCTACATTTTGCAGATGATGAAAGGAGGTTTTTTTTTTTTTAAAGCCTCAAGTGTGGTTGTATATTTTTGGTCATCAGTGTGTGATACAGAAGTATCAGATACTTATCTGATGACTGTTTCTGTTGCTAATAACAGACCTGATGAACAACATGTTCCTACTAAGAGCTGCATCTAAGACAAGTAAGAACTGTCTTGATTAGTAATTGTGGAGAGCTGAACATTGCCCTCCCAGGGCTGTGTGGATGCCACACCACTTGTCTGAGGCAGAACAGCTGGACTGCCCTGAAGGTGGTAATGGTGACTGAATGCAACATGGAGGAGGAGGATCAGCCTGGGTGGTTAAGGGAATTCCTAAGAAGGTTGAGAATATTTTAGAACAGAGAAGTTACAAGCTTTATGTAATAAAACAAAATTACAGTGAAGTGTTATTTATCATATTTTCCTGAAACCCTAAGACTGAGCAAGGCCTGAAATTAATTAGGGTATGAAATAAAACAGTTGCAGACAAGTTAATCTCTGTATGGTGCTGCTGATCAGGAAGGTTGTATTAGGATATTCAGCTTTAAGATGTTTTCCCATCTTAGTTTTGATACCATACTCCTTTTCACAAGGCATTTAAATGCGCAGATAAAAAAGCATCACTTAAGATTTTGTTTAAACAATGTCCCGTGCCTCCTGTGTGAAGGGTGGGGTGTCAGCACGGAGCTGTGTGGGAGCAGTGTAATTCTGCATGGAATAGGAAGGAACAGCGCTCCTGGAGACTGTCCAAGTCTGCACCGGGACTCACTAAGTCAAGGAACCTGTTACTGCTGTCTATAAAAACACTAGTGGGAAAAATGAGGCAGAGCCACAGCACAGAATGACAGTTAATGTTTCATCTGCAAAGCAAAGGAGGATTCAAGCACCAGAAAGGCAAGGCCTCTGAAGAGGAGCAGAGGAAGGAGGAGGCATCTCCAGATTCCTGACTAACTGCATCTAGTAATTAAAAAAAAAAAACACACACACAAAAAAACACTCATTCAGGTCTACGCTTGCCCTTCCCACCTTCTCTTACAGTAGGTATGACTGCAGGACTCCCTGCTCCATTGGTAGCTCTTTTCTTTTTTCTTCCTAGTGCAGAAGACCTCATCTCCCATGTCACAAATCCCTGTCTCTTCTGCACGTTTTTGTGAAACATTCCCACACTTTTCTATCTGCCTGTGTCACCCACTAAAGCTAAATGGTTCATTTGATCATCTTAGCAGAAAAAAAAAGATTTATATCAAAGCACAGCACTGAGTAGAACAAAGCCAAATGCTCACTTACCAACCTTCTCCTCATGTCCATCCCAAGCACAAGTAGCTGGTTTATTGCTTCTAATGAGATTACTTTGCCAAGTTTGCTGTGCACAGAACATAAAATATATGACGACCACTGCATAGGAATTTACATTCCTAAGAAATATTTGCTAGAAAAGATGATATGCCCAGTTGTAAATATTCTGCGCACACCTCTGAATCAAGTAGTAAAGTTTGCAATGTTTATTGTGTACAATTTGAACCTTTACAACTCCTTCTAGAGTTTGAATAACAAACCTGCTTGTCCTTACCAGAGAAACCACATGCAGCTCTTCCTTCCTCCAGAACAGAGCCAGGCACTCCAAAAGCAGGGAAAAGCTAAGGATAAAAGAAAAAAGAAAGCAAAACTTTATCCAATAAAATATGTAGTAAAACCATCTGTGACGCCTGCCCCCACCCCATCCAATACCAGCTATTATGCTAGTTAAAGATCTGTCTTAAAAATCTTCAACCTTTTGTGCCTTTATCAAAGGCACTTTGCTCTAATACAATTTCACACACTTCACTCTGTGGCTAGGTGGAACTTTCCTCTTGTTATGAAGCTGCACAATATCACTACACCCAGGAGCTGCAGGGACAACGAGGGCAGTGATACGTACTGTCAGCGGGGCTCCAGTGCGCTGGACAGCACAGAAACACATCGCTGCAGCCAGCCCTAAGGCCACCAGAACAGGGAGCTCGCTCATTGTGACAACTTGAAGAGTGGGGGTTTAAACTGACATTTTTCATAAACCCTCTCAGATGATGCTAGGTATATTTTTAAAAGCAAACAAATAGTGGCTACACATGTGAAACTAAAAAAGACAAGGAAATTATGCTGTGCTTCTGTCATTTATATTCCTATTGCATTGTTCCATTACTTAAGTATCATCTTCTTGAATGCCTCATTTAAAGGTTGTGAATTTATTCAGTACTCTGTTGAAATTAGTCCTGCCATATAAATCACCCAGCACTCACTTGTGAGTCATTTGTAACTTTTGAAAAGCCCTGCCAAACCACCTATAACAAACATACCTACACACAAATCATTTAGTCATACAGACAAATCACAGAATTTTCTTAAGGTCGTGAAACTCTCTCTAGTAAATAATTATGGTGCTATTCTTACCTTTTTTACCTTTTTGAAAGCAATGGTTATGACTGAATTACATTAGGCTTTTCACTGCTGAAACAGGATTGTGTCCCTGCAGGGCAGGGCTTGGCCGGCCACCAAGCAGCGACACTCCGCATGCTTTGTACCTTGCACCATCCCTGCTGCCGCCAGCGGTCACACGCGCACTATTCTTCAGGCCCTTCAGAATATAAACAGATTGTACCTTGAGAAGCAGAAGTGGTAAACACCGATTTCCTACAGATTTGGGGGTCTGTCCTCAGACAGTGCCATCCCGCCCCCTGCAAATCCTCCCGCTGGTCTTTAGGCCTGCGCTGATGGACAAGGGCCAGTGGCTGGGCTGAGCTGGGCTAACTCACCAAAGTTGCTCTCACAGAAGTGTCTACACTGCAAGAAATTCAGGGAGGTCGCTCAGACTAGCAGCATGGCTTAGCTCAGAGCCGATACCATCCACTGGAGTTGATGTATGGATTAGGTTGCCCCACATAGTAATGGCTACAGGCACCGATCCCCCTCTCAGATGTGTTGCAATTTTGATAGGTAGTTTCTCAGTGAACAATCTAAGTGTTTTGGCTGGATCAAGTTTGAAGTAAAACCAGATAAGAGATTTGGCAAAAATGACTATAAATAGCATGTAAGCAGAGTAAACAGCTCTTTTAAAGATACCTTAGAAAAGATGGTAATTAAAATTATTATTATTGGGAGGTAAGAGGGGAAGTTGTCTTTAAAAAGGGCCCAGATGGGGCAGAGAGTTGTTAAACAGGTTAGTACAGGACAGAGCTGATTCAGTTTTAAGTAAGGATCACATTTCACCTCTGAATTTCAGGTTGATTTTTTTCGCATGAGAAATGAAAAAAGAAGTTGCCTAAATAAAGTAAGAAATACTTAAAGTCAGGCAGCTGTGGGAAGCCTTACTTGGAATATGTGAAAATAAGATGCACAGGACTTCCCTACCACTGAACAGAGCCCTGGCAAAGTCCCAGCTCTGGTCACCCAGCCAGGTACAAAGCTGTCATTATGCAGCAGCTCTGGAGCATTAGTATTGCTGAAGAGACTTTAAATCCATTAGATAACTCATCCTTATCAATTCAGAAGTGGTTTATAGCCCGAGTGTAAATCTGTCCCACACAAAGGAGGCTGCGTATCTCCTGCATTGCAGTAGCATTTCCTGCCTGATGCTTTTAAAGACATAACAAGCAGCCCTGCAATTCCTCTCAGTTTTATTCCTTGTGACAGCTATCTGGTCACTTAGATACCCCTGGCCACACTCGCAGCTCAGTTTGTGCTGGGTGCTTAGACAAACTGTAGGAATAGCACATAGACTACCATAATTGAGGCTTAACTGGAAACAATCCCAGTGGGACCAGCTAGATATATTGGGAATGTCAGCAATAGGGGCATCCGTTTCCCCTGGAAATCTCCTACTTACTGGGATTAAGAGCCTCATTTCTGATCCTTCATTACTCATCATATGCGGATGTCACAGTTGAACCTAAGTCTAAGTCGAACCTGAGTCTAAGTAGGTGGCCAAATGTGGTCCTACTGCCATGGAGGCCGCTGCAGAGTGTAGCAGGCACATAGCTCTATTTTGTGTCTACATTCATTGAAGCCTTGGCCATGCAACACACAATCCATTTTAAACAGACGTCTGTATTATTGCTAAATAAGAAGTTAGAGAAATGCTTAGATGCCTCACTGAATGGGAGCTGGACAAAAGCACCTTCCAGCAAGCGGCAGACAAAGCAAATCTCATCTATTTTTAATGCAGGTTTTGAAGATTTCATTTGTGCTAAAAGACTGTAG